TTAAAATATTGTGTATATATATATATATATATATATATATATATATATATTAAAATTATAATTTTTAGTGAGAGAAACTAAAATCGCACGATTATGATATTTGAGGGACTAAAATTATTCAATTAAATATTGAAGGACTAAAATTGCACAATTACAATTTTTTAGGGACTAAAATTACCCAATTAAAATCTTAGGGATCAAAATTGCACAATTGCAATACTTGAGGGATCAAAACTGCAATTAAGCCTATATATGATAAAAAACTTTTTTATTCCATATAATTTATTACTTTATCTTTTAATCTCTATGATTTAAAATAAATATTTTGTCACCAAACTTGATTTTTAATTTTTTTAATTTTTTTAATTGTATCATTACATAGTCTAAAAAAGATTAAAAAATATAAGAATAGAAACTAAAAATGTTAATTTTAAATTATGATAACTAAAAAATAGAGTTAGTAAAACTACATAAACTAAAAAAGTATTTTAACTATGTACATTTTACTTGTTCTAAAGTTTCTCTATTTGATCTAACCTATTTTGAACTTAAAAATTACGTTTTTGGTCTTTTTATTTTCAGTAATTCGTAATTTTGATTCATTTATCTTAAAATTATTTTTAAAAATATAAGATTTTGATCCTTTATTAATTGTTAAATTTAAACTTTTACTCTTATATAAATGATGTGACATTTAATAACGTGACATTAAGAAAAAATAATAAAACATGCAAATAAAATTTTTATAAAATAAATATCAATCATTCGTTAAAATAAATATAAATAAAGATCTTTTTTAAGTTATTTTTTAATTTTCAAATTTATATGTCACATTACTAAATATCACATTATTTAACTAAATGACATTAAAATTTAATGACTAATAAATATCAAATTAATAGTAAAATTAAAATTTCATATTTAAAAAAATAGGAAGACTAAATGTATACATTTTAAAATAAGAAGAATAAAAATGTAGATTCACATAAATAAAGAGAGAGAAAATATAATTTAACCAAATTACTTTAAAGATAAGGCAAATATTTCTTGTAATTAACATTTTAAAATCTATTAAAGTTGTTTAGTAAATTTTACTTTTTTAATTTTTAATCTTTTAAGGTAAAAATTGTTTGATAAAAAAATTAATTTATTTAAGAGTAATTACTTCATTTAATTTGAAAATATATATTCATAAATAAAAATATTATCTGAAATTAATTTAAGCAACATAAATTATTTTCATGATAAAAAAATACATAAAAATATTAAAAATATAAATTTTTAAAATTTTTAGTTTAAAAACGTCAAATACTAATTTTTTATATATATTGGAATTACAATCACACAACCAAAGTTCAAAGTTAAGACCATTTGGATTCTATCCTAACTCCCTACCAATGAAAAAAAATTTAATAGTTTATGAATTATTATTGTATATATAATATTAATTAGATAGATTTAAGAACAAATAAAAAATTATAAATATTTAAAACCATTTATATTATTTTTAAGTAAAGCTTTTGGGAGATAAAAATATTTTTTATATATTTATACTATTTATACTATATTTATACTTCTATACTATTATATTTACTAATCTACAAAGGAAATACTTTTTTTAACTGTTTTTTGTCCCTATAATTTATACACAATTATATTCACAATTATTAAGAAAAAAATAATTTTAATAATCATTGACCAATTTTAAATAATCGTTCATACTATTATATTTATTTTTGTTTATTTTATTTTTAAAAATATTTAGAGACACAAATGACCTCTTTCTTCTTGAATCTTGATTATATATATAAGAAGATATTTCCCTTTAATTTTCATATTTTTAAACATTTATATCCGTTTGTTATATATTATTATTTTTCAACTATCAACTATAACAATAGATATAATCTATATCTATACATCTATACATATCTATACATCTATACATATTATAAAGGAGATATATTTTGATAACTACCTCTTTGGTCTCTACTTTTTACTAGACAATTATACCCCTTGAATTAAAAAATAATAATCCTATTAACTGCCATGAACTATTACTACTGAATTCTATTAATTGTCATGAAACCACTTTTTTTTTTTATTTATAGTTGTTCCAACAATCAATTGGTTCTTATCAATAGATTATTTACATTTACTGACAATTTTTTTATATAATCATATCTATAACATATATAAAAATTAATAATCTGATTTATTGCACATATTTTTTAGACAATTTTATCTTTAAATTTATAAATGATAAAAAATAAATTTAAAAATTAATTATCTTTACAAGCACACGACTGTAGTTAGCGGAATACACATAAAAGGGGGGTTGAATATATGTGTGTGTGTGTGAACAAGGAAGTTTAAAAACGTTTTTGCAACGGTAGTGGTCTTCGTCCATTGTACTTTTAAACATCGAACGGTTATGCAAATTTGCTTAATCAAGATTACTGCGTTTGAAGGGTTTATCGTCCACTAGGGAAAATGTTTCGTAAAGATAATAGTTGAAGTTCTTACATTTTCCTTTTCAAGATAGTTTAATTTAAGGATAAGTAGTAGATGAAACTTTCAGTGTAATAAGCTTGTCAAGCAAAGTCAGCATCTTCGTCTAAAGGTTGTTTTAAAGATGTATATAAACATTGGACGAAGTCTTTCACAAAGGTTTAATCAGTAAGGAAGATTTGCGTCTAAGTAAATAAGAGGATGCAATCATCTTATGTTGGTTCGCTTAACAGAGCTACGTCCAGTCTCCTTCAACTTGAAGGGTTCCACTAAATGTGCAATAAAGTACATAAATATTGTTGACCACTTTTGGCCCATTGATTTCACTTATCAACGCTAGTATCTTCTTCTCAGCCTCTTCAAGCTAGCAGTGAGTATTATAAACCACCCAGGTTAGAACCACTCTTGGTCCAAGTATTCTCGGAGTGCTATGTGGGTTCTTACGGGAAACCCTATAAGAAAATAGGTAAAATATGAATATTTTCTGTTTTATCCCCTGAGTTTTCTGTTGTGTTCTTTGATGTTTGTAGAGTGTAAATATGTATTTCATTTCGCAAATGGATGAGTTTTGATATGAATTAAAGTGCTCTGTGAAAATTGTGATAATATGATAATGTGATGTGATGATGTGATATGATGATGTGACATGATGATGTGATATGATAATGAGACATGATAATGTGATATGGTGATGTGATATGATGATGTGTTATGATGGTGAGACATGATGATGAGACATGCTAATATGATATGGGAATGAGATATGAAAATGTGATATAAGAGAAGCATGGAGTCTTGATTGACATGCATCATGTGCATAAATGTTTTTATGGGTACAATATATAATACACCGCCAGAGAAGGTCCCCTAGTGTAAAAGCTTTGGGGATTAGTCCTTGGGGATAGCTCGGTTTGTAAGTCTCAGTCTCGCCCATTGTGTGCATGGGATGTATCTTGCGTGGCTTAGCTATCCTGACGAGACTCTGGTAGTATATCCTTCTAGTGAGAGTGCGCATAGGGTGTGACCCGGCATGTACTCCTAGACTACTCTTCATGTATTGCTAGTGGCAATATGCCATGTGATATGTTACTGGCGCCACATGCATGATAAAATGTAGTTCGTGTCCATACATGTGCATTTTAATGTTATATGAAAATTTGATGTCTTGGATGAGTGAGATGTGATGATTTTATTAATTTATCTATGTTATACCTGTTTTGTTTGTGTTTGGCTATTCGATGTATATTTCTACACTGAGCCAGAGTGAGATGTTTCTCACCCCCTTTTCTTGTGTTGTTTTTCCTTGACTGTCTTACAGATAATTATCAGCATGAGACTGAGGATGTTGGTGATGAAGCTTAGGCTTCTATGTTGGGATTTTCTCTGATACGACATGTGACATCGGGGCATAGATAGAATTAGATTAGAATATTTTTAT